TGCAAGGTTGGGTAGTGGTGAGGGAAAGTGAAGAGCTTGAAGCTGTGGATCTGGCTGATTAGAAGGATGGGAAATTTGGAGGGATAGGAGTAGAGTTTTGTTAATAAACACACTTGATTTCGATGTCTGTGGGACATCCAGTTGGAGATTTCCAGTAGGAAGTTGGTGATGCAGGATTGGAGCTCAGGAGTGATTCTTGTGATAATACAGGGTAATAAACAAGCGAAAATGATATACCTTGAACTACGCATGCCCTTTAGGGCACAATTTGTCCTGCAGATGTGATTATTTTCTTTGGTTCAAAGTAGCACCAGCCCCTTGAGTTTCATACCCATCTCCTTTGCAGTTGATGAACCCCAAAGGAGTTATTAGTTTATACAGCAGAGGAAAGAGATCAAAGTGCTACCTCTGAAACTGATAACTTCCAGTGCATTGGCACTTTGCTTCATGGAGAAGATGAATAGGGGTAAGGTTATATTCTTTTGTTGATGAAATTGATAAAACATCTATCCTTTGGAAGGTGATAAATGACTTGTCCTGCCCACCCCCTAGTGTGGTCACTGGCCTTTCTGGCAAATGTGACTTTATTAGTGGCTCTAATCAAATGGAAGAAATGTTAGAAGAACTGGCTATTAAACTGATTTTAATTACAGTAATGGGGCAAAAGATTGTGGGGCATAAGCATGAGTTGGTAGCTATTTCAGAGAGATAGAGTAGGGTATGTCAGTCCAATACCATGGGAAGTCAGAACCTGGGGTAAGTTACTTAACCTCTCTGAGTCTCTTTCCTCATGTGTAAGATGAGAGAGTTGACTTAATGATCTCTAATCTAAAAATCCCTTCCACCTCAGAATGTGGGTGTGTGATTCATTTTTCTCTTCTAGTAATGCTAGATGTAGAAGAACAGAAGATAGAAGAAGAAAAGTGGGAAGAGAAACGGAGAGAGAGAGAGGAAAAGCGGCAGAGAGAAAGATTAGAAACTTTTGAAAGGGAACAAAGAGAACTACAAAAACTGGATCAAGAAATGGTGATAAGTACTATTTAGTACCCAGTGCTTCTGTAGAATAATATTTTCCTTTACTTGGCATGTGTCTTTTTAAATCTTGTTCTCAGTAGCCATTTTTCCATTCTTTATTCTCATTCATCTTATGCATTCATTCGCCAATTTTTATTATTTTTCTCTCCACAACATCTCATATATGAGTATGTTCCATACTCATGCTATTACCACTCTAGGCCCTCCTGTCTTGCTCAAACTATTGAAAAATAGCCTCTTATTTCATATCCATTTTTGTGTTTCTTCCTACTCTATATTCCACATAACCACCAATGTAATATTCTAAAAGTTGAGGTCTGACCATGTACCCCTTCGACTCAGTAAACTCCATTATCTCTCTTGTTGCTTCTAGGTTCAAATATAAACTTTGGCATATAGTCTTCATTGCCTGGTCCCAGACTACCTACAGTCTAATGAAATGTCCCTTTTTGTTGTTCCTTACATCTGACACTCCCATCTTCTGTTTCTGTGCTTTCATCGATTGTCCCTCTTGCCTGGAATGTTCTCCCTCCCCCTTCTGCTTCTGGAATCCCTTGTTCTCTGAAGATTCCTTTATGAGGTCTTTCTTGGTATCCCCCAGGTCCTAGTGCCTTCCCCCTTCCAGCTTACTGTGTATCTGTTTTAAATGTTTTTATATATGTACATACATGTTATCTCACTAGTTAGAATATAAGCTCAGAGATTATTTTGCCTTGAACTTCATAGGTACTTGCTAATTATTGTGAAAAGAAATTTTTACCAATTTTCTTTTCTAGAGATTACTTGAAGAATCATTGAAAAGTGAAGTAGAAAAAGATATTAAAGAGTTAGAAATCATCAACAAAGAAATTGTCAACCCTCTAGAAAAATATATGAGAATCATCCAGCAAAATAAAGAGCAGGAATCAGTAAATAAGGTGAGAAGAATTTTTAAAGGACAGTAAGAGGGGAGAGGGTAAAATAAATTAGAACATGTGATTCTGTAATACTGTGAACAGTCAGTTGTTATAGTCTCTTTAATTAAAACCACATTCATAGGGGCAACATATTATCTCATAACAGAGATTAAGCATGATTATTTTACATATTTAAAATTTTTCTTTGGAATTTCTGTGGTTTTTGTTTCAGTTTTATGTCATGACAATCAGATAACACAATTTAATAGAAATTAAAGTTTTTTTATTTTAAAGAAGGAAAAGCATAGTCCTTGCCTACCTCTATACAACCCTTGTATTTGGGGGAAATTAAAAAATTTTTAAATACACTTTAGACAAGTAACTGAATATAGTAGAGTTGTTGTAATAACTTAGTGCTTTGTAGGTCCTCACTTAAGTACTTGAGAATACATACTATAAGTAATTATTGTGCTATGCTACTAAATACTCTAATTTATTGGTTATTTTTTAGTCTTAATTTTCATATTTTTGTTTTAGCTATAATTATAAATTGCAAAATTTATGTAACATACCAAATGTATGAAATATTTTACATTTATTTTTCTCTCCTTTTCAGAGCTCAAAAAAGGAGGTTGTGGAAGAAGCATCAATAGAAGAAACCCTGTTCTCTAACTATAAAGCTGATAGGTAAGATATTCCAAGCAAAATTAACACTGGCTTTGCTAAATTTAAGGTATGTAAGAGGCTTCTCTTGGCTGTTAGATAATGTTTGAGCTCTTTATAATTTCACTGAATTGGCCAGTTGTTTTGATGTCATGTAGATGAAGTTTGAGTGAACATGGTCTAGTTAATAAATTGTAAAGAAGGTTAGGGAAGTGCCATAGTATAGAAGTCATGTCATTAAAGAAGTATGCCTCTCCCTCAAAAAACCCCAAACCTGACCATTTAATTCCCAGATGCTTTCTAAGAAATAATTTGTCTGATTATTCTTTCACCTCTTTTCTTATTTAGTTTGTCAGCTTCTGAAGAACCAGATGACTTCTGGTGAGAGGTTTGCTTCTCAGGCTCATACTCGGTGACACTGTGATGTATCAAGTTTAGGCCTAGGTTTTCACTGTTCTAAGCCAGAATATTAATAAAGATGTTAAATAGAAAATCTGTGTGAGGTTGCATATTTCTTTCTGGCATCTGCATTTCTTAAAAAAGATTGTCTTCAAACACTTCTTGAGAAACATTTATACAGGTGCTGTTAGTATAAGTTAGTATTTCTCTTCCCTTTAAAATAATGCATAGTTTTTGTAAAGTTATTAAAGCATTTTGTCTCACTGTTAAAATAATGTTTCCATTTTTCTTAATTTCCCTTTTATATACACAGCTAATATTAGTTACAAGACTTAAGCACCCAGGTGAAATTATCTTCTGTCTGCAGTGAACAATTCAATGAAACATTAACTTTTAGTGCTAATCAGTTGAACTTTCAAGATTCATAGCCTTAGCAAACAAATTACCTTCTTTTCTTTCTTAAAAAGTACATGTTTCCCCTATCCCTCTAACTTTTTATACCTATATACCTTTTCAGGTTAATTCTTCTAGAAAACATCAAAGTTGTAGAAAAATCAGCTTTCCATTATAAGTATGCAACATAGTATAATTATTGAAAAATTATATTCTTGTGTTTTATTTGGCTTAGAGCTAAATGAGAAAGTTGGTTTTTTTGTTTGTTGGGTATTCAGACCTGTAATTTCATTGACCTAGGGAACTCCCAGTGAGGAACTCCCTCTATCAGTGCAGAAGAGCAACTGCTCTGTAACTCAGAGAGTTGCCTGAGACACAGAAAAGGTAAACGATTTGCTTAGCCACACGTACGTAGTATGTATCAGCAGAAGGACTTCAACCCAGGTCATTTTGACTCCAAATCTGGCTGTCCACTGTGTCACACTGCCTTTCTCCAAATAAAGGGAAATCATACAGTCAATTTTTTAAAAAATGGTTATTCAAAAAACACGCTACCATAAGTTTATAATATGTGAAATTTCATAAAGAATGAATCATGCATCTTCCAGGATATGTAGAAAACCACAATAATTAGAAAAATATTGGTGCATGTAAACATAAGCCTGTATTTAAGAATTAAAACATGTGAAACAGCATGCTATATTAAATGGCTTTCAGAAGCAATTATCTTTATCAGTGGCAGTATTTGTCACTGATGTAGATAAAGATAAATTGCTTTTGGGGCAGCTAGGTGGTGCAGTGGATAGAGCATCAGCCCTGGAGTCAGGAGGACCTGAGTTCTGGATCTGGCCTTAGACACAATATTTCCTAGCTGTGTGACTCTGGGCAAGTCACTTAACCCCAATTGCCTCACTAAAAAAAAAAATTGCTTTTGAATACCTACAGAATGACTGAAGTACTTCAAGGTCTTATTTGACTTTCAGATCTACTCATTTATACCATTCACAACTTTGGGAGAATAGTTCTTTACTTGCTACTAGTTGCTATTAATTCAAGTTTCCCAAGGTCTAAATGCTTAAAATTTTAAAATAAATCATATTCAATTTCAAGACATTTAATTTAATTTTATGAAAGGACTTAGGAAGGTATAAAATATTATTAGGGTGTTTGTTATATATACACTATAGGACCTTTTGTGTCAGAGCTGATGAGAAGATTCAGAGTTAGGGATGCAAGGAGAAGAACAGTTAATGTATTATTTGATCATGCTTCACAGTAGATGTACAAATAAGAATCTGTCAATTTGGCCCTTAAGCCTGAGTTAGAAAGTATCATTATTTAAAATACTGACTTGAGACTATGCTGAAAATGTTCAAATCTACAATTACTGACAGTTAATCACAATCATGGTTAAAAGTATAAATAAAACCTTACTGAAGTGACCTACTGTTCACCCATTAGCCCTTGATTTAAAAAAAAAAAAAACCCACTGATAACATTTCTTTTTACTCTGTTCACGGAATTTATGTTCCTAGGATTTGTAAAAGTAAAATGTGTTATATAATAGATGAATGTATTTAACGCATTATAACAACAGTATATCATATATATACATAACTTTGAAGCACCTTTACTTAAGACAGTTTCAGAAAGGCAAACTGTTCCTTTCTGAGGTCCTTTCACCAAGTCAGTCTCAAAAATCTTGAAATAAAAGTCTAGGCTCTGTTAATCTCATAGGCATATATATTCTCTAACACTGTTGATAACGTAAGTAATTACTAGTGAAATTTGATTTGAAAAATGTATAGTTCCATGGAACTATGAGATCTCAATATCATATAGCAAATGCAGCTTTTGCAAAACACAATCCAAAGACTTACAGAGCTCTCTTCAATTATTCTTGCTTTAAATATAATTTTACCAAACCATGCAACCCTCCAACAAACATTTTGTTAACTAATTAGTATGAAATTTCAATACATTTAGTTATTACATTACTTTAAGACAGCCAATCCAAAGACAAAGCCAAAAAAAGTTTATGTATGCTAAAACACCAAATGAAGGAAGCTATAATTTTATTTTGTTACTATCAGTACAGCCACAACTATTTTTGCCTAGATAAAATCTTAAAATAAGCATACACATGTTGGCTCTATTATCTACAAATATTTATTGTAACACTTGAATATAACTACAGGAAGCCCTTGGCACTGATAGAAAATATTGATTCACTGTTAGGTTACAAAAATTTATACATAGCAAAATTTAATGATCTTTACATAAAAAATATTAGACTACTTAAAACGAAACTTTCAAAAACTCCCAGTAATAGCTACCTAGACTTAGAAAAAGAATTAGGCTTTAAGACACTGCCTCCATTACTCTTCTATGAGAACACTGGACTATATGACAGCACCTGCACTGCTGTGAAAAATATTTAAGTCTCCTTCATGCAACAGGAAAACAAACACTTAAATTATTCTGTCACTTGCTCTATGTAGAAGAGAGCCTCCCCCAATGTAAAAAGGGTTAAATTAAGCATTTAATTAAATTTAATGATCCAAATGAAATGTAGTACCTGATAAAAGATCAGTTTTAATAGCTTCTAAGTAATGTATGCTTCCTTTCACTTTTATACATTTTCACACAGGTATGTGTTTTAATATCCAGGAAACAGTCAAACCACAAGTTAACTTTAAACATGAATATACAGTAGTTAAATGTAGCTTCTTTTAAAAAGCACTGATATTCCCAACAGCTATATTTATCATTTCATAAAGAACAACACAAAATTTACCATCACTAATACCCAATAATCACTTAATGCTTCTGAAACACAATGATTTTGAAGGCAAGTTTCTCTTAAATGGCTTAAACTCTAGCAGCTTTCTTGCTGAACATTGAACTTCACTATTTTGGGGTCATACGTACGATTTATTTAAGGAAAACAAAATAAATATAAATTCTAATTTAGGTTTCAAGTTCTAGAAAAGCAGGAGGTCTGTGGTCTACTTGTAATTTGATTTTAGATAGCTGGTATGAAACTTTAAACTTACTATCTAGACCATCTTTGAATGGTTTTTGATGGTGGTCATTTTAATAAGGTAACACTTCTTAATTAAGAAAGGAAATTTGTGAAATGAGGTACCATGAAGAAGTCATGGTCATCTCCTCTTATATAAATTCTTAGAAATTTAGAAGAAATTTACATTAAGGCAAAGCTGGCATTTAGGAAAAAAAAAAACCATTATTGGGTCACACTGTTTTATTAAAACTGAATGATGTATAAAACAAATTCTACAGGGCTTGCCCCATGAATGAGAATTGAGGTTGTTCCAGCAGTAAGTATGGCAGAATTATAGTGGCTCATTGAGGCATTTCTGAATAGCTGCCTTCTGACTGGCTCAGGGAATTAATGTGTCCTGTATGTGGACAAATCAGAAAGCCAGCTCACTCAGAGAGAAAAATAAATTTAGTCACCTTATGAAAAACTTAAAAGAGCCAAAATTTAACAAATATTAGCTGTCAGAAAGGGATCTTGGTAGGTAGGTTACTATTGGCATTTATATGTACTTAGATAAACTTCCTAATGCTGGAAAGTTGAGAGCTCCTACTAAAGAGCATGAGTGATTCCCATTGTTACAGTGACCACACCAACAGAGGCAAAGTGAAATGTGGGAATGCCATTCATTAATCTCAGAAGGGTTATAAACAATCATTGTGTCAAAAGTGTTGCCTTTTAAAATGGCTGACATGAAACCTCCAATATCTGTTCTAAAGGAAGAAAGATTTACCCAGTGGAAGGTTTTCCTAGAAACAAGTCCCAGGAGCTTGACAGTGAAGTTTTTGTACTCCTATGTTTGTTTGGTGGATATACATCTGTATTGCAGAGCAGCCGTTTGATGATTTGTCAGAGTTATAAATTCTTCTGTTGAATTACTCTGGCAAACATTTATGTGTAAGAATTGAGCTGTTCTTTTGACCGAGACTGGATATCCTGAAGTTCCTGTTCTTCTTTTGCTTTGATATCCTGGTAGGCCTGCATTTTGCTTGCATCCTTTAAGTAAGCCCAGTTAGAAGACAGTATCATGAGGAAGTGGATCTGGAAGAGAAGGGTGAGCATGATGGCTAGTGAGCATGTCAAAAGGCAAAGCAAGCTGCTAGTCAGATTAATAGACATTCTTTAATAAAAATGGGAGGAGGTTATTCTATATTAATACACAAATTCTGCTACTGAAGAATCAGAGAGTCAGTATAAATGGCGTTCTAAATTGCAAGCATGCCTTTCTATTTTGTTTAATATTAATGTGCTGAAGAGAAGTTAGTTAATAAACAAGGAGCAACTTATTTAAATGGCCAAGGTTATAAGAAAAAGTGTAAGTGAAAAAACAGCAAAGCACTTGTTATCACTTGGGGAGTGTTTAAATCTGATGCACAAACCTGGGAATGCAATAAGTTGGTGTTCGGATTTTAAAATAGGTGTACAAAGACATTTCTTACAAGGTAGGTAAGAACAAATCTTCCCTCCCCCAAAACTGTAAACACTGTTTATTTTGTGTAAATAATGGAAAAAGCTACAGTTTAACATGAGAGAATTTAAATAATGAATGTGAAAACCCAAAACTAAAAACTATAAGCAAAGCATGCAGTCTCTGGATTAACAGATTTTAGTGGTGACAGTTTACAGCTACATTTTTCATTTTAGAACTCTCATTTCATTCAGTGTCTGAATCCATAAGAAAACTATTCATTACAGCTGATGGAAAAACCACATTTCTTCCCAACTCCTTTCCTTCATATTTCCTGTAACACAATTCTGCATCTTATGACCTTTATTTCTCTCATTTCCTTTTCAACATGTTTGAGATGTTCAGGTCTTTGCACAATTTCTCTTCCCATTAAAATCTTAAACTTGCATTTCAAGAACTGGCTACTGAGAAATCAGTTACTGCTGCACTGATACACAAGATTTAAGATGTCATTTATCAATTTATTTTGGCGATGGGGAGAGAGGTTTGAAAGGACTGATTGTGTTGCGCAAAATAGAAGAAAAATAAATTTCTTTAATGGAAAAACAGCAAATGAGTAGTTATTTTATGTAAATTTCTATCTTGCTGTGTTTAAGAATTTTTAGTTGGTGTCAAACTATGTGACTTTCCAACATGCTAAAATGTTTTAAAGGCTTTTAAAAAATCTAAAATTACTTTTTCTAAAATGAACGATACCCCACTTCCCAAGAACATGACAAAAACAATATTAAAGCCTCAGTTGTAATGGTTCTCTTTCATCTCATCTGTAGAATTTGTGTTGGGGTTTTTTTTTTAAATCTTTGAAATCAGATTAAAAAGCAAGGAAAAAAATGAGGAATGAGGCAGGCATTCAAGAGTTCCAGTATTTGATTTAGAAGTAACTGCTTTAGAAAAAAGCAACCAGGTATTAACTCCCAAAAAAATCTTGTCTTTAAAGGATGCTACCAGTGTCAGTAAAATAACTGAATCCTCTCAAAATATACGTAATAGCCAGATCTTACCATTCTATAATTCATATACAATAAGTCACTTTATTAATTGACTATGCTAATTGTTTACTGAAGCTATTTACAAATTATGGTCACAAAACTTCAAAATCTAGACTGTTTTAGTCTATGGTGTCAGTGGTAGTTCAAGCCACACAATGTAGCTCTCTAAAACTCTGTATTGGCCTTATTTCAATTTAGAATTTAGTGCAGCAATCTTCCCGACTCTTAAACTTCAAAACCGCAAAGTTATATGTAGTAGCCATCATGTAGATCAGCTGGTGGAAGAGAACAAAATACAGGACAGTAAGATACAGGCAGCTGAGAGCTAAAGCCTCAGCTATTTCAAAATTGTTCATTTTCAGTTAATACTCCACGTTCTTTCCCCTCTCAAACCATTAGCAAAAAGATTTTCTCACCAAGAAACGGGTATTTTTTGCCCGTTTACTTATATACACCTCTTGAATGCTAGGTTATCCTTACAAATTGATACCATTTTAAGTATCCATAAAATAGACTGGATTTGGAAGACCAACTAAAGATTAAAAAACTGGGTCAGTAGCACAGGAAAAGAAACCAAGTACTTCCCTTCCGTTTCCCCAAACTGTCTATTCTATCCCTTTTCCTACTCTTTTAAATAACTAGGGACAGAATCAAGTCAGTTCCAAAGAGAAGAAATGATTACAGCTTTGGCTGGCATGAAATCTTCAGAGGATCTGAGATACCCGTTTGTTCTACCAGTCTTACCTGCTTTTCTTTCCTGATAAAACCTGAACCATCACAAACTTAATTAGATCCTTCCATTGGGAAATTTAGGATTTCGTGGCTAGGAACAGGTCATGTTTCAAGTCAGGATGTGTGTGTTCTTGAAGCTACGAAACCCAGGACAAAGTTCAACAAAATAATGTTGCCAGTGCTTATCAATAAGCTGGGGTGTTTTAGATATGTCTTCTGCTGATAGCTTCTCTTTCTAGATCATCCAATTGAGGTTAAATCCATAGTCTGTAACAAGGCAGTTGACAAGCTACAGCACAAGGAGTTTTCAAATGTGAAACTCAACTGTGTAAATGGTGGTAGTGTTTTATCTTATCCAGCAAGATGATTAAAGCTAAAAAGGAAGCTTTGTTATTTTGTATATTTGGGAGAAGATGAGACTAAAGGGTTTCAAGGGGAACAGTTACTCACCAGTGCAATCACAGTGGCACCAGCTCCAGCACAGGCCACGATGAACAAGTGATAGGACATATAGAACTAGGAGAGAGCAGCAGCAGTGCATCGACATGAGCATTTTAGTCCAGAATTAAGCATGTTCTGTAACAAAGCTTAGGGGGATACTACAGTTTCACCTTTCATCGTAAAGACCGGATACAGGGATGTTCCATTTTTAAGAAACCTGAGCAGTAGAATTCTAAACCTTAAACACGTACGATATGGAGTGATTATTCACTTGACAAAAGTATTCTCGTCTACAAAAGAACTTATGGGTTCTGTTAATAAAATGTAGCATTTATATAGTGCTTTGAGGTTTACAAAATGCTTCAGACTAACCCTTGAATATAGGTGATTTTGGGAGATATGTTGTAGATGACAAATACCACTGTCATAATTTCACAGATAAGAAAACTGAGGCTCAGATTTGTTTTAAATGATTTAATCTACACCAAGTTACAGAAAACAAATTTAAAATTTAAGCAATTTGAAGCCAAGGTGTTAGGAGAGGTTGACCAACTTGATCCCTCAAATGATAAAACGTCTCTGAAATTACTATATAAATTAGGTTTTTTTTTTAAACCTTGCTTGACAAAAATTCAATATATACTTTTTTCTGGACACCTCTACTAAGTAAGGTGGAATCAGAGAATAGAGAACTGGAAGGGATGGGAGACATCTCAGTTCAAGTAAGCTGTAAAATGATGAGGCTCAAGGAAGTGGGCTGAGAGGTTCCTTCTAACCTGTGACATACTGACCTTTTCTTTTATTGAGGGAGGCTAAAGCCTGGAGAGATCAAGGAACTGTCCAAGGTCTCTGAGTTGGAAACAGTCTGGCCTGTGTATACAATGTTATTGTATTGGCAGTGTAACAATTGGTCTATTTTGAATACTTGGGTGGGGAGAAGCATTTGGCTTAAATTTAAAGTTTATATGGATCAGGAGGGTCATCTATTCAAAGGATTGGAACTTGAGTATGATACTGCCCTGTGTGTAATGCCCCGCCCTATTCCTGAAACAAGTTCCAATATCTCCATGCATGCATGTAGACATGAATAAATGAATGAGAAAGACATTTGTTAAACGTTTACTATGTGCAAACTATTAAGCTAAGCATTGGGGATACAAATAGAAAGGTAAGGCGCAGCCCCTGATCTTAAGGATCTCATAAATCTAATAGGGAAGAGAATTCACATATAAGAGATTTCAGCTGCAAGTCAGACGGAAAGTTTTAGTAATTCTAAGATGTATGGGTAAGGTAGATGGTAGCTCATCTTCCATTATGAGATCCATAACTATTTCTACTTGGTATTTGACAGTGACAAAGACCTTGACACAGTACTATTTTTTTTTTGGTTCTAAAGTAACTGTGGCTGCTGAGGAGGAGAGGGCTGCAGCACCTGAAAAGGCATCTTGACAGGTTGTACCCCGCAAGGGTTGCTTTCCTCTTGGCTGTACTGGCCTGCCAGTGTCAGGGGTGGCATAGATGATGGGCTCCTTCACTCCACAGAGATTGCTACCCTGGATGTTCACTTTAAGGGCCAGGATGTGAGCCTGATGTCTACTGAAATTCTCAAGTCCTTTGATTCTGAAATGCACCAACTTGCATGAGTCAGGGGAAAGGGAACAAATAGATGGGGAAAATCTACCTACTCACATTTCCTAGGGAAAATTAAGTGTTATTGATATCACCCTACCTGTTCTTAAATGGTTGCATTAGATAAGGCAGACACAGTGACCCTGAAATGCAGAAAGCAGTGATAGCAACCAGTAATCATGATTTCATCAGTCAACATGATCAAGATTTCTTTGACTGTTCCAGTCTTTAATTATCTCTCTTCTTTTCTGGATGTCCTCAAAACCTGTATCACCCAACCTGTTGCTTCATCTTATATATACTATGTAACCAGCTGGTGTTACAAGTTTTTGTGGTTTAGAGTATAAAGTGAAAAGCAAAGGAAGAGACACTTTTCCTTCCAACTATAAAAATGTAGGCGAGCAGAATATTTCCACTTTCTCCTATCACAAGGCATGCCTCTACCCGCTAGCTTTAGGAGCTAGAGATTCTCTGGTTAAGTCTGTGCTTAAAAAGCTACCTAAGTCTGTTTCACCAAATCATTCCATTAACCTAGAAGTTTTCTATCTCTGCCCTTTCAGTGCTCATAAAAATAAAATTTTTTCACAATAAGCTCAGCCTCCACCAAGTACCTAGAATTCTGGATGGAGGTTTAGACCTCTGACCCATTTAATCGTGTGTATACCAGCCTGATCACTAGCATCCTCTATAGCGCTTCCCATCATGTGCAATTAATTATTAGCAGATGTTAAAAGGCAATTATGATTGTTCCTAGCTTATGTGAAAAAATGTGTTAAAATACTTCAAAGGAACAGAGAAAATCACGCAGAAAGTGCCTACTAGCTGTAAGTGTCAGGAAGGGAGTTAAACCTTTACTGTCCTGTGTTGATCCCTAAAGAGTGACCACCAGCGAGCTGAAATCTGTTCTAGGCACCTCCAGCAGAGTTCTTTGATCTAGGAGTGGAGGGAGGCCTGTCCACTGGAACTATCTGGAAATGCTCATATTCTAGTCTTGGATTTCCGGGGCTTTCATTTCCATCTTATCACCATTATTACCAACTGTAGTTGAAATTCTTGTTGCTCTTGCAAACCTGACTTGCTGACAGATACTACCTCTGGCTGTAGTCAGCATTACTATGGGCACTGTCACTGCTACATCCAGTGCTCCTATCTCATACTCTAGTTTTGTCTTCTGTAAATCTAGTTCAAAACTCCATCAAAGTACACCCTCAGCACAATGCTCATTTCCTACTCTCCCAGGGTGAGAAAAAAAATTGGTGTCCAGGGAAAGTTAAAGCTAAAAAGCATGAGCTTTAGTTTCCTCATCTCTTATATATATATACACATATATAATATAGAATGTCCTATTCTTAGGACAATGGCTTGTAAACCTTAAAGCACTATAAAAATGAGTAATTATTAATTGTCAGATAATAAAACTCATCAAGTACAGGGAACTTTTCTTATTTTTACTTTTTACATTACAATGTTTAGGTGCAGTGCTTGTTACGCAACCCACATTTAATATTTGTGAACTTTATTTCTGAAGTTTAGACCATCCCAGAAAACTGAAAAATCTCTCCTGTTTCTGAAGACTTGTGCATAAGGTATTCCTCAAATATGCAAGAAGGCCTTCCTTAACAGGATTAAACCTATCAGTCTTGCACCCTTTTTATTTAAGGAAACTCAAGTTTCCCAGCCCAATTTCAGAAATGACAGTGCATGACAAGCCCAGCAGCTGAGGGCCACTATACCTCATTCGTGTTGCAGATGCTTTCTAAGGTTGAGCCACATGCCCTGCCTGGCAAGGCATTCCAAGGGATGATACCTGTAAGTGAATCCCAAATTTATGTTAGATTAAGGCAACAAATATTACTATGGTTTTTCATCATCAACCTTACTACTTCAAATCTCAGTTGTAATAACAGTATTACTATAACTACTACTAATAACATGCTATCACCTTTCATGAGCAAGTCTGACACATAATCAAGGCATGTCCCTAAAATAGCATCTATACCCTTATTCTTGGGCTATATTCACTAGGCATGTCATCTGGGAGATAACAAATAGGAGTTAAGATTTTGACCACAAACTGGAAAAAACTTGGTAACCTTCAAAGGGCTCCAAACCCATGCTGCCAACCTTTATAAAAATCTTTGTGATACGGCATGACTTACATGGAACTGTGTATTGTATGATTGTGCAAGTGTAACCTATGTCAATTTGCTTGCCTTCTCATGGAGGGGGGAGGAGAGGGAAAGAATTTGGAACTCAAAATGTGAAAAAAAAAATGTTAATTATTTTTACATGTAATTGGGGAAAAATAAATTATTAAATAAATAAATAAAATCTTTGTGATACATGCACATTTTGTTTAAGTAATGCTGATTTTTGCAAAGATAGGCTTTTAAGTATAGTACTACCCATACAGTAAAATGCTAACTTTAGCAGGATTCATAAATTTTTTTTTACTTAAAACTACAATAAGGCTCCATCATAATGTTCTTTTTCTGGATCACAGATTCTGTTATGTACATATTATATGCACTTTATCTATCACTGTAACATAGGAAGCTAATAAAGTTTTTGAAAAATCTTTATCCCCCACCAAAGCTATAGTGCACTTCTATTTTATTTCAAAACAAACACTTCAGAAGAGTCATTCAATTATGTACCAAAAATATAATCAGCCCACCCTTTCCCCAGGAGATCAGTAGAGAATAAAAGTAAAAATAACTTTAACACCCCCTACTACTTTGCCATGGACACAGAATAAATCTTGAAATCACTCAGTGAATTCTTGAGTATTTCCCATACTTTTAGATAGATACATGTGAGATCACAGGATTTCCAGTTTATAACCTACTACACTGGGCAAATACAAAAGATGGATAATGTGAGGGGAAAAAAACCCTATGTAAATAATTTGTACTCATGCATGTGCAAAATATTTAAGTCATTTATAAATCAGCTTAACATTCAACATGGGCCTTTCTCTGTTTTTAATCTGGGATAAAAAAAAACACAATATTTGAACATTGGTTTTATGGGAAGAAATATGTCCAGAACGCAGTTTCAGGAAGAAACATGATTTCTTTTTGCATAAGTAGTCAGTGGTGAGGAACTGAGGAAAAATGAGAAGCATGAGGGGAAATGATACTCGCTCTCGCTCTCTCTCTCTCTCTCTCTCTAGAATGGTTCCAAAAAGAAAATTCTTTACACTTTTCTACTTTGCCCATGTAACTCATGAAGGCCACAGAAACTAATTGAACCCTTTTACGATTTTAACTTTTCTTTCATAGGTTTTTAGTTGTATAGATTCATTCATAGAAGAAACTGGTGTATTTGCTTTGGCAGATTATCCACATCTTTCATAAGTTCATAAGCATAGCTGGCTAACTTGAAAATCCTATGCATTGCAAATCATATTTGAATTGGTCCATGAAAATGCTTATATGTGTCTGTAGTGATAGTACACATTAACATGACATCAGAGTTTCACTGCAAACTTTATGGTTGTACACAATGGATGAAAAGTATCTCAATGTTCAGTTCTTTTAAAAGATTTGTAAATTTGTAGTTATTTGGTAATTTTTAAAAAATGGCCCTATGCCAAGAATATGATTAAGAGATGAGCTATAGAGATGATAGGTGGTTTATTACATTTATATATTGAATGTAATTATTCATTCTATTTCATAGAAGAAAATGGTTCATGGAGTTTCTTTTGGGGGAAAATGAAAACCATTAAGCTGTATATCCTATATTCACAGACACACATGTATGTATATAGGATGTATATGCTATACACATATATCTACATATATCTATCTATATATACATACATATCCCACCTATCCTGTCTTATTTTTCCTACTGATGCTATGTTGAAAGACAGACTTCATTTTTAAATAGCTTCTCTTGTTATTACTTCATATATTTAGAAACTCCCTCCAACAAAGTAGATCAAGATCAGAGTAAGACTAAGTAGTCTTGGGAGTTGGTTGAGGTGAGGTAAGGTGGTTATGGTGAGGCTAAGTGACTTGCATATGGTCACACAAGTAGAATATATAAGGGACTGGATTTGAATCCAGGTCTTCCAGACTCCAAGTTCAGTGCTCTATGCACTATGTCATCATGAAACATATGATGACATTCCTTTATAACTGTAAGTAGTACATCAATTTGATAAAATGAGGATACCTAAAAAGCAACAGAAAAACAAATGGCATTGGGAAGATGTTTTCCTTATAGTCTTTCATTCCATTTGAAAAGTAAGTCACAAATTCAAAGGAAGTAGTACAAATGAAAAGGATAATAAGTTGATTGGGATAAAATTAAGTACCATATTGCCTGATATCCACACAGATCTGGCTCCCCGTTGCTGTTGAATTTGTCTGAGGGGATTTGATGACTTCACAAGTTGACCATATGTTATAGAACATAAAGACTGGCACAGCCGAGAAGCCAAAGACCCCAAGCCAGGCCAATCCAAGCACATAGGTGAGGAAAACAAACTAAGGGAAAAAAGATATAAGCAATCCATATTAAAATCTTAAAGAAGCAGTACCTAAATTTATAGAACAACTATACAACATTACCAATGATTATTCACCAGAGGCTAATTAAATATGGTGGCTCTACCTATCTAGCTCTACCCCTTTTTAATCAGTCATAGAGAGATCACTGAATTGACAACTTATAGTATATAGCTATATATTAGAGACATTCATACTATTTATCCATTTAACTGGAATCAAAAAAATCTGATCCAACCCAAAAAGCATTTTATTAAGTGCCTATTATATGTGAGGTCCCAAGGTAGGCAATGGGAAGCACTGAATTTAGGAGCTGGGATGGACCTTAGAATCTAGTTCAATCCCTTTATTTTACAGATAAGGAAACTAGACCCAGAAAAGTGAAGGGACTTAGGATCATAAGATCTTCTTCTCAGTTAAATACAGGCAGAGCTGATAGTCAAACCCAGTTCTCCTGACTCTACTCCAGTAAGATTTGAGATTTTATCAGTGCAGGTATACATCCCCTTCTCCCCATGTCCCAAACCCCATTCAGGTCACAAGCCCTCCATAGTTTGACATCCTGTACAATTCTTGTCCGTGGTTTCCTGTTTATCTTTCATAAGAGGTTTGTCCAACAGGTTGGAAGCCTTCCTGTTATATGTTGGGTGCGTCTGTCTGACTCTTTCTCTACTGCTACCTGACCAGATAGTCTCTCGTGGTGCCTCTTTGTTGGTATGTTATCACTGGTGACATCCTACAGCTTAAGTCTGCCATGCAATTTTTTAAGTTAGCCTCTGTGTATTTTATAGTTTTAATTCTTCTGGGATCTGGTGTTGCATGATTCACTGGGAGATTATTGGTGTTAAAGACACAGCTTTTCCACTATACACATCAGTGAACATCTGCTATGAATAACTGCTTTACAAGTATTACTCTGTATTGGACCTGCTAGATCATCCAAATTGTTAAATGACTAAAAAAGTTGAGATATGATTTTTGTAGACAGCTTTATCTTTTTGAAAAACAGATGTATTTAGGAAATGGTAACTATTACAAAGAACATTCTCTTTAAAAGGACAGTCCCACAATCCCCTCATCTAGAATAATGAGTGTTCTGAGCACCACAATTAAAGAATATATTGATAGATTGGTCGATCAGTATCTAGGAGGTCAATCAGGATGGTGAAGGGCTTTGAGTCTAGGTAATAAGAGGGTTGGTTGAAAGAACTGAGTATGTTTTGCATGGAAAAGAAAAGACTGGTGAGAGGAAGAAGGGGAATGGGGAGAATAAGATGTGTAGTTGAAAAATTTGAAAGGGTATTGTGGAGAAAGATTGCACTTGTTCTGTTTGGAAGTTGCAAAGAAGCCAATTTAGGCTTGATGTTGGAAAAAAAAAACTTCCTAATTTTTAGAGCTGCTCCAAATTCCAATGGACTGCTTGAGGGGTGGTGGATTCCCTTCCCTGGAGGTGCTCAAACAGAGGTTCTTGTGATGACATGTTAGATGTGTTATACTGGGGATTCCTTTTCGGTATAGACTAGATGACATAGCTCCTGAGTGAGGTCTCTTCCAATTTTCAAAATTCTGTAACTGATGATTCTGTAGATGATGAAAGAAAGTGACCTCCTTATGGAGTGTCAGAAGGCTGAAAGTTCATTTAAAAATGAGTTTAAAATAATCCTGAAACAATATAATTGTACATTATGCTGGGGAGAAAGTCTTCATATTTTCTTCTAATCTCGTTCAGTCTTTAAAAATTCATAGCAGCTTTGCAAGAAATGATTGGACTTATAAAAAGAAAAAAAATCCTCCTCAGTGCTCACCCACGCTTTGCCGTGGGCGATCTCAGGAAGAATATAATGATATTGCTTCACTTTCTTCGTAACCTTCAGCCTTGACTACCAATTTTTGGAGAGCTTTGAAAAGCTGCCTCAAACACATTGTGGTATTTATATTCTCAGAATGTACACCCACAAGGAGCGTGTGGGCGAGGACTTGGAGTTTAAACTTTGTTACTGCCTTTCTATAAGGGAAGAGACTGATGGTAAAGCCTTCAAGAACCAACTTTAACTTTCAGATTCTGTACCATTGGGGCCATCAACTTGTGCTAGTCGAGGAATTCGAAGAGCAAAAGGAACTCTAAATGTTGTCCCTATCCATTTCCATGGTTTCCTAGGTAGACCAAGATGGTTCTTTATATCATACCTGAAGCTTTCACACTTTAGTAATCCTTGACGTTTTAAAAATACCCACATAAGATATACCAGTATTTTGGTGGTATTTTTGCCACACTGTAACAGCCTCTTCTACCATATTTTCTTCCTTATACTACTCTATAAACTGTCTACCCAGCCTGAGTTTCATGTCTCTCCCTCTCTCTGTCTTAAAAAAAAGAAAAAAAAGAATGCATGTTGTTTTTCTTTACAAATACTCAAAGATTTTGCAGTTGAGTGGTTCTTCTGATGTGCTTCTGGCTACTTTTCTTTCAGTGGGTCTGTCCCTCCTTTTTGGGAAGAAAGGGTGGGGCTGAAAGGAGGGATAGAAAAGAGAAAGCTCCTTGTCACCAGCAGCTTATGGCATCTCTGAACATTCAGATGGGTTTCTATGGTGAGCTCCTAGGTGGAGGGCTCCAAATAAAGGCCAGTTAGAGAGGCTTTATGCTGAATTAGGGGCTATCTTTGTTTATCTCTGTGGTTAAGAACAAAATGAAATAACTTGGAGAATTACCATTGTCTTTCCCTCCCACCCTTTCCCATAAAAAGTGCTCTAGTCTGTTTATACATGTTGGTAGAACACAAATTTTGTCACATGACATCCTACTAAAATCCCCATTTACTCTTCACAAGACCCGCTGAAAGGAAGTCTATTTACTTAATCCCTTGAGGATAATGGAAAACAAAGAAAGAAAAAGTCATATTTTAGTGGACAAAGCCAATAGTGCCTAGTTCTTCATAAAGCCTATGCACATACAAGATACACAGTGTTGGTTGAATAAAAACCCAGTGTTCGTTCCACCTACAGGCATAACAACAACTATATGTCAACAAGGCAAGCCAATATGCATTTATTAAGAACCAGGCACTGTGCTAAGCACTGGAGAAACAAAGAAAGCCAAAAACATTTCCCACCCTCAAGAAGCTCTCATTCTAAAGGGCCAGACAATACGCAAGTAACTGCACATACAAGATAAACGAGAGGGTCTGGATTTTGAGGACAGTTGCAGTTTAAAAAAAAAATTATTAGTCTCTGAAACAAGACTTTGCTTTGGCATACCACATGTCTTAGTTTGTGGTTTGAAAAATATGGTCACCATAATTATGATAATTATGATAATAAATATGATAATAACAGTAGGAATGTAAATATCTGACATTTGTGTAGTGTTTTAAGGTTTCTGAAGTCCTTAAGCACTAGCTCTGGAGAACCTGGGTTCAGATAATGCCTCTAAATTGCTTACTGCCGGGGACAGCTAGATGGCGCAGTGGATAGAGTACCACCCCTGGATTCCGGAGGACCTGAGTTCAAAATTTGGCCTCAGACACATAACACTTACTAGCCCTACTGCCTGAACAGCCTGGGCCTCAGTTTCCTTATCTGTACCATGAGGAGGTTGAATGGGCCCTGGGGTTCCTTACAGACTTAGATCGACCCTCACATCAACACTGTGATGTAGAGATTACAAGTATTATCCCCATTATACAGATGAGAAAACAAGATCCATGAGTTGGAATGATTTCTCTCTTGGTCATGGAACTAATAAGTATCAGACAACGGATATGAACCCAGGCCTTTCTGACTCCAAGTCCAATACCTACCACATATGCTCCTACACATCAAAGAAGTGATCAAAAATGGGACTATAGATTTAGACCATTGATTTTAACCTCCTCATTTTTGTTGTTGTGTCGTTTCAGTTGTGTGCAACTCTTTGTGAACCCATTTTCAGTTTCTTTAGCAAAGATACTAGAGAAGTTTGTCATTTCTTTCTCCAGCTCCTTTTACAGAAGAGGAAACTGGGGCAAACAGGATTAAGTGACTTGCCAAGGGTCACATAGCTAATAAGTGTCTGAGGCTAGATTTGAACTCAGGTCCTCCTGACTCCCTGGCTGTGCCATCTAGCTAGGAAAACTGCATCCCAGAGAAGATTAAGTGACTTTCCTTAAGTCGCAGTTTGTAAGTGGCAGATCATGGATTCGATCTTTGAACTCCAAATTCTGTATGCTTTCTGATGGAAAGAGTTTATCCTATCAAATGATATCAAAAAGCTAAGCCTCAGATACAATATAATTTCACTGACTGAAACAAATACTTACATAAATATTTTTAAAATGCCACCTTTTCTCTAAAAAATGTTCAGTGCCAGTCATAGAATTATACTGGTCAAACATTATAAAATGACTTCTCAACTGGCAAAATTTAGCACAGGTAAGTTTTAAGGTGGGCATTGAGGTGGCACAGTGGATAGAGTGCCAGCCCTGCAGTTAGGAGGACCTGAGTTTAAATCCAGCCTCAGACATTTCCTAGCTGAGTAACCCTGGGCAAGTCATTTAACCCTATTTGCCTCAGTTTGCTCATCTGTAAAATGAGCTGAAGAAGGAAATGGCAAACTAGTCTAGTATCTTTTCCAAGAAAATCACACTCGGAGTTAGGAAGAGCAGGACATGATTGAAAACAACTGAACATGGGGCAGCTAGGTGGCGCAGTGGATAGAGCACCAGCCCTGGATTCAGGAGGACCTGAGTTCAAATCTGGCCTCAGACACATAACACTTACTAGCTGAGTGACCCTGGGCAAGTCACTTAACCTCATTGCCTAGCCAAAAAAAGAAAAAAAAAAACAACAACTGAACAACAAAAGTTTTAAGGTAAGGACTAGGCTTGTCTCTCAGTGATTACCTTCCTCTGCTAATCATGTTGGCACCTCCCTTACAACCTAAGAGTCTTACAAAGCTGCCTAAAGCACCAAACCTGTAAGTGATTTGCCTAAGGCAATATAATCAGTGTGTGTGTGTGTCAGAGACAGGATTGGACCCCAAGTCTTCCTGGCTCCAAAGTCACTGGACTCCTCTTCCTCTCACAAGTGAGTTATCAAGGCAATAAAGAGTACATTAAAAAATCAATCCATAGCAGCCATTTTTACTTTTGAAGGTGTGAATTTAGGTGATGCCATGATCACTTTTCATAATGGAAACCATGATAATTTCTCTCTGAAGTGCTCTCTCACACTTATGGTTAGTTCATCCACATTTCAAAAGGAGCATCCCACATTTTAAAGGCTGCTTAAATACTCAAATTAACAAATTTATAGGCCAAATGAAGGAAGACACTATCTGCATCCAGTGAAAGAACTGATAAATAGAAGTAGGTATAGAATAATTTTACATATATAATTATTTGTGTCTAATGGTACCCATCTCTGGAGACAGGAAGAAAAAAAAGAAATTTACATGATAACTTTTTTATATATTTAAAAAAATAGCAAGTTGTACATAACAGATTTGCAGTTTCATGTGCAATCATCTTTTTTATTATACTATGTTATGGAAATGATTGTTTTATTCCATAAATTAAAAATAAAATAAATTAATTTTTTAAAAGGCTGCCTAAAGGTCAATATGGTTTTTAAACAATCTGTTGCTGCTCCTGCCCCTTGTCAATATTCCGTGTTTTTCATGATTTTAATGATAAACTATGGACATAGAGATCATATCATATGCTATCTGTCCACTTGTAATTGGATGTGCTCATTTAAGGCCTGGACTGCGTCGGGTACCACGGTAGGGTTGGACTCACCATTCCACTGATGCACCGGCCACAGACTGTTGTTTTAAACTCCCCATGCAGCTCTTTCACTGCACTCGTGGTGTAAAAGCCTTCTGCCAACAGAATGATCCCATACAAGAAGAAAAAGGATGCGATTCCATAGATGACATACTGCATCAGCTGTATCCTGCCCAGGAAAAGAGAGCATTGGAGAAAATGGAATTCACTTTGCAAATACAACGGCTTTCCCACATTAGTGAAGAATAAATAAGAACAAGTCAAATTTTGAAGCAGTCTAAAGCAGAGTGTGATAATCAGATAAAAACAAGGTAGACTCAAGGCTCTTTGAGATCTCAGAAACATAGCTTTGATTCTCATGGGTCAAAAAGACCATCTTCCTAGAATCCCCTCCCAATCAGTGCCTCACCTTTCTGTCATCCAAGGCTTACCCAGCACAAAGACCTGCATACAGTGAATGGTCAATAAATTCTATATGGAGATTGATGCTTACTCTTTTCCCTTCATAAAATGCCTTGGATGTACATCATAAAATGAAATAAAAATGAAAGCAAAAGAAAAAAATTCCCAAGAGGATTTTTCCAATGTTTCTATCTTGTCCGTATTACGGTGCTGCCAAATATAATTTTATAAAAATGCCTTCACTGATAACCTGATGTCAGTCAGCCAAGGGAGAGGAGCCTTAGGAAACAAAGGCCCTCTGTGAGCAGGAAAACTTTTAGAGCCAAAGAAAGAAAAAAAGAAAAGGAGGGAATCAGAAAGAAACAGAAAATTCTGAAAGGAGATTTTGAAGTGAGACACAGATGCTTCAGAAATGATCATTCTAGCTAACTGTGGAAATAAATACTGCAAGGGCCAGCATTATTTAGATGGCATCAAGGTACCTGCAGAGAGGCTTGAGGGGAAGGCAAGCATCTTGTTGGATGCTCCAGACACCTCCCTGTTTCTGCATTGGTTGTCCAGACGTCCTTCATTTTAGAATGGGCATGAATACTTTTCTAAAGTGCACAGCCAATTCCCCTCCTCGTTTTATTCTATGTATAACATACCTTACCCTCAGACGCTGGAGACAGAACTGAAATTGCATGTTACTGATTCTTACACTGAGTCTTTTTCAGGTTTACAAAACATCTTTCATATTCTGAAACACCTTGAGATTATCTAGGTGTAGGTACTATAATTTCCCATTTTATGGCTGAAGAAACAGGTTGAGAAGGATAACGGTGCCCCAGGGTCACACAGTTGCTAAGTGTCAAAAGGCAAGATTTGAATTTAAGTCATCTTAACTTCAGGTCAAGGAGTCTATCCAGTGTACCACCCTTCCTCATCATATGCAACATTAATACACTACCTCACTGCCACAAGTATGGCAGACACTCTTTCCATATTTTCATCATCATCATCATCATCATCATCTTCAGTCCATTAGCTAGGTCCCAGACTCTCCCTTTTTCCTTTAACTCCTTTCCTAAGGTTACTGGGTCTCTTTTGTCTCTCATAATTTGCCTTATCTAAAAAAACATCCCCTTTCTTTTGTTTTTCTTTTTTCTTTTCTCCCAATGAGTAGGAGTGGCAGGACAAAAAGAAGTTGGGATAAGGTAACAAGAAGAAGAAAAGAAAGAGGGTCATTGAGTCATCTTTTAAAAAAATGCAAAGAAAACAAAAGGAAGGCCAGAAAGAGCATAGACAAGCAGGACACCTTTGAAAGCTATGGGTTAAACATTGTGGTGGTTCAGTCATTTCAGTTGTGTCTGACTCTTTGGGACCCCATCTGGGATTTTCCTGGCAAAGATAACGAGTGGTTTGCCATTTCCTTTTCCAGTTTGTTTTATAAATGAGGAAACTGAGGGAAACAGGATTAAGTGACTTGCTTAGGGACCCACAGCTAGTAAGTGTCTGAGGCCAGATTTGATTTCATGAAGATGAGTCTTCCTGATAGAGCCCAGTGCTCTATCCTCTGCCACCTAACTGCTCGAGCTACAGGTTGAACTTAGAATATACTTAAAAAGAAAAGTAAGCTGTAAAAAATGGTGACCTGTAGTTTCATGTTCTTTTTCTATTCTACAATATACAGAAATGCTCATTTTACTGGGTTTCAAATTCATAATAAATAAAAAAAGCCAAATAGAAAACACTTTTTAAAACCTTTTTGTTGACAGGAAAGGTTCATGTTAATTTTTTTTTTTTTTTGAAATGAGAGGTTTGGTGGAGGTGGGGAGAGGAGTTCTTTTCTTTTTGGAGAAGGCATAGGAAAGTGAATACTTACACCTCACTCAGTAGGGCATGGTCACTGGCATTTGTGGAGAAGTGCTGCTCCAGAATGGATATGGTCCCAGCTAGGGCAACGTGTCCACAGCCGCAAAACAAAGCGACTCCAGAGAAGCAGAGAATGGTGGCCACAAGGGAAGCATAGGGCACTCCTCCCAGACACTTGATGCAGCATTCAAAGCACCCTAGGCAGCAGAGAGAGGAAACCAAAGCAACATAATTAAATGCATTTCGTGATGGGAAACCCACATTTGGCCTGAATTAATAACAAGCTATATTTGTAGAGTTGTATATAAGGCTGTTCTGGTTGTTTTCATAGACTTTATCTCAGGAGAACCTCATGACAACCATGGGAAAGTAGGTACACAGAGGATTATTTCCTCTAACTAAGAAAGCGGCATCAGGGTATACAAACAAGATGACGTTATTTACTACTTCTATGTAGTCAGTTGGGCAGGTCACTTCTTTGGGGCTCAGTTTATTCAATTTTAACATGAAGAGATTGGACCAGATAAACCAGAAGGGCCTCTTCCATCTCCAAATCGATGATGCCGTGATCCCATACAGCTCCAAATGCTATGACTGGCAGGTAATTAACATGCCAGAAGTTACTCTATTATTAGCAGTGGTATGACTGTCTACAGCTTCTTTGCCCTAAACCCCATCCTTTTAAATGGCAAATAGCTATGAGAAAAGTGACCTGCACCAATGTTTCTCTTCTGAAGTGCTGCTACAAAAGTTACAATGAGGAAAACATTTGTGTGTGTGTGTGTGTGTGTGTGTATACATACATATATACATATATATAATTTGTGGTTCCCAAGGTGATTAGGGAAAAAAGAAAAAAAGTTATAGATCCTAAAATATTTATAGCAACTCTCTTTCTGGTGGGAACTGGAACCTGAGGGAATGTGCATCAAATGGGGAATGGCTAAACAAATTGTGGTATGTGATTGTGATGGAATACTACTGCACTTTAAGAAATGATGAGCTGGTTGATTTTAGAAAAAATATGGAAAGAATGAAGTAATGGAGAGTGAAATGAGGAAAACCAAGAGAACATTGTACCCAGTAACAGCAATATGATTTTAAGAATGACTTTGAATGACAAATCATTTGGAGTATTACAAATACTCAAATCAACTACTAAGGACCTATGAAGGAAAATTTTATCTATATCCAGAGAAAGAACTGATAATAAAAGTATGCATAGCGTAGTTTTACATATGTACACATATTTGTATCTAATTGTAGCCTTCTCTAGCATGGGATGGGGAGAGAGGGAGAAAAAAAGTACATAGTAAAGAACAAAAGAAAACTTAGAAGGAAGCACAGAAAAGCAGGGTAGCTTTGAAAGTAATGCATAGTATTTGTTATATAGTTTAAAGAAAACCAATTGTGAAATGGAGATTCATGGTTTATATTGAATTCCCTTTTTATGTTGTGCTCTGTATGTGGAAATGTTCTTTTGTTGTCTTTTTGTATTTAAGCTTAAAATGAAAAAAATTTAAATTTTAAAAAAGTTGTTTTTGTTTTTTAATTTTTGTGTGTGTGGGAGGGGTTGGTTTTTTTGTTTGTTTGTTTTTTTCATTTTTAAGGAAGGTAATGAAGCAATGATTCCCTAGGAGGGAAAATGTAATAAGCTTCCCTAAATCCTTATACTTTTGGCATAACTTAAGTAACTGTTTCTATTGAAACTAATGACTTTCACTGAGCCTTTGACATAGTTTGTAACCAGAAGAAGTCAAAGGCTGTAATTAGACTGCTGCTGTACTCTGAGCAACATTAAGTTAAAGAGGTTGTTTTGGAAAATTAATGGATATTTTGGTCCCCTAGCACAATGGAATGAGAGCAACTGTGGAGAAGTGATGAGAAGACCAACCTTGGAGTCAAAGTCCTTCTTCTGATAGAAACTGACAAGAGGGTTCATGGGTAGGGCCCTTAAACTCTTAGTGCCCCAGGTCACTCTCTTGATTTTTAAGTGACCAATGAGTTATTAGTGAAAGGAATTTCTATGCTGGAATTCCCTATACTGATGAGATAAAAGGTCTAAAACTAGACTAAAAAATATCCCCAAACCAAAACCTTAATGGATTATAGTTTCCAAAATCAAGGCATATCCTCATTCCATCTAACACCAAAATATACTTCAATGAAAAGAAATGCCCTTATTAGACATAGTATAACCAGTTTAGTAGCTTCCCCTTGCCCCCTGCCCAAAATTGAGTAAAAAAAAAAAACCCTTAGAATTAATTAGTGGGTGAGATTTAACATAAAAGAAACAAAATATATTTTAAAATAAAAAGTCACACTTTGGACACATACTGTCTCTGTGCCTGTGGTCAAGTCCTTTAGCTTCTTGGTATTCTCAGGCAACTGTCTAAGACAATAAATTGCTGAGTAGGTGCAGGTGTTGGTGAGTTTTCTCACTGAAGAGTTCCCTTCCTTAAGAAATGAAAGGTCCAAATATTCCCTTCACCCCACCACCCCCACATATAAAATAAAAAGGAAGGGAGGGAAGGTAAGGGGGGAGGGGGGGGAAGAGAAGGGGAAAGACAGAAAGAAAAAAAAGAAAAGAGAGAGGAAGGAAGAGAGCCAGAAAAAGGGAAGGAAGACAGGAAGCAAGAAAAAGGAAGAGAAGAGAAAGGAAGAGAAGGAGGGAGGGAAAAAGGAAGGAGTAAAGAAGGGAATTAAGCCACAGAGTGCATTTGAGTGAAGTGAGCTCAACAGAAAATTCCCTTAAGCCAGAAAAAAATTAAGGCTTAAGGTCTGCAATTTTATTTAAAAGAATTCTTCCCTGAAAATGTCCATAAAATTAGGGTTTCTACTAAAACATTCCCAAGTGACTTGAGACAACATAATTTTTATCTCTGAGACACATTTTTTTTATTTCATTTGGGACAATGTTTCTATTAAAGAGCATGAGCAGGACAGCTGAGACCTGACTGTTACATCCCCTTATGGCCTCTCAGTTTCTGTTTATATACTCCAGATCCTTAAAGCAAATGGGTTGTCAGGAAAATAGAGTTTTAACTGCATTATGATCTTTAACAGCAATCAAAAGCAATTCATTATTCAGGGCAAGGGCACGAAGCCAGCTATATAGCTTTCTTTAAAACATGAGCTTCATACATGGGGTGGGAATGTCTTGCCAATAGAAAATATAAGTCTTGTAAAGATACCATTTTTTTGTGTGTGAATAGTCTACCAAAAATTAACATTGCTTAATACTTACTATTAGCAATGGGAATGATTTTTTCCCCTGGGAAATGAATATGGAACATTAGAAAGTGTTATTATATCTTGTAAACGTCCTGAATGAAAACAGTATTTTTTATAAACTTCCTGAACAAAATAAGACCTTTCGTCACGTTTTACTGACATGTCCCTGGGCAAATGGCATTACCTAGATGCCTTAAGTAACTTTCTACCTGGATCACATCAACTTCTCACCAACATTTACAAACTAAGATTCACATTCCCCCCAAGGATCTGTGACATGGCATCCCACCATGTATACAAATACTTTCGTAACGTGGAACCCATCTGTGATATTCATTCATACAATTACAATTTTTTTTTCCTACAAATTCATAAGTGGCCAAATACACCAAGGAATGTCTTACACTTAGGAGAGATATGTAATAATGAATCTAGTATCAGACTGTCAGCCACCTGGAAAGGACCTTTTAACATTACCTTAGCCCCCTCATTTTATGGGTGAGACACCTGAAGGCCACAGTGGTGAACAGATTTCCCAAAAGTCACATAACGAATAAAGCTCTTTTTCATGGGCTCATAGAGTATGAGAAGTGAAGGGCCCTTAGGTATCTATTATCTAATCTGACTCAGGGTCACTCAGGTCTGAGGCAGGATTCATATAGTAGATTTCAATTCTAATACTCTATCCACTTTGCCACTTAGCTACCTCAACAAGATATTATTCTGCTGTAGTTAAAAGAAGTATGTTTAAAAAAACATTATACTAATACAGTTCTCATCATATCCCTTCCTCTTCTCTCTTTCCCTTCCTACCCCAAGCTTATTGTTCTTGTAAAAATAACTATCACAAGTTAGAGGAAAAAAAAAGAACAACCATGTATATACCTACCTACTTATTAAAAGTGGGTTTTTTAAAAGTGGGGCTTTGGGGTAGGAGACATAGGACTAGTGCATGGGTTCTTTTCAGTGTCAAATCATTTTTCAGTCATTTCTGACTCTATGTGACTCTCCATTTGGGGTTTTCTTGGCAAAGACACTGGAGTGATTTGCTATTTCCTTCTCTAGCTCCTTTTACAGAAGAGGAAAATGAAGCAAACAGGATTAAATGACTTGCTCAGGGCCACACAGCTAGGAAGTGGCTGAAGCCAAATTTGAACTCAGGAAGATGAGTCTTCCTGACTCTAGGCCTAGCACTCTGTCCACTGTGCCACTTAGTTACCCTTTACCTATCAGGATTGTACTGGATGTGGTCACTGGGTTTTAGGCTTCAGTTTGACCTTCAGTATAGTTACTAACACATTTAGTTGGTGCCTATTGAATAAAAGATCATTCCATATCCTAACGAGCAATGTAAAAATGGGAGTGTTATTTACATATGTCCCAAAGGCCTAGACTCTCTAGGGAAACCTGTGGCCTCGAGGCCACCCCTGTGACCTAGATCTAGAGTATAGGGGAGTAATGCTGATCAATACATTGGTACTTTTCAGATAAATGAAAAGATAAAAAATTCGATAAATTTTCTAATAGTCTTATTTAAAAAAAAAACAACTAAACAAATCCTTTGGATTTTCAGTAGCTGTCAATAAATAGTTTCCCTTCAACAATAGAGGTCATTCTTAAGTCTACTACTAATTCATATGCTGTCATTTATTACTGTTATAATTTTTACAGTCATAGAATCTCAGATTTGGAAGACAACTCAGAGACAACTAGAGTAACCCACATCTGAACAAGATTTCTTGTTACAACATGCCCAACAAAGGTCATCCAGCTTTTTCTTGAATATTACCAGTGCAGGAAAGCCCACTGTTTCTGTAGGCAGCCCATTTGCCTTTTGGATAGCTATAATCGTTAGAAAGTCAAGCTCAATGGTTTATCATCATCATCATCATCAGCTCACATTTATATAGCACTTTTTCAGATAACACTCTTATGAAGGACATAGTACACGAATATTACTCCC